CTTCCCCTAAATTTAAGCAGTTTTGACATATGAATTCATGAAACTATCATCATATACAAGATTATGAAGATATCCATTGCTCCCAAAGGTTTTCTTGCATTAAAACAAGAAACCTTGGGCCGTCTGTGTGGCTCAGTCAGTTAAGTGTCTGACTCTTGATTTTAGTTCAGATCATGATCTCACGGTTTGTGAGTTCAAGCCCTGCATAGGGCTCTGCACTGACAGTGTGGAGTTTGCTTGGGATTGTCTATCTCCCTCTCTCTCTGCCCCTCTCCTGCTTGTGACCTCTCTTTCTCAAAATAAATAAACTAAAATAAATAAATAAGTAAATAAATAAATAAATAAATAAATAAGTAAAATAAAATAAAATAAAATAAAATAAAATAAAATAAAATAAAAAAAGAAACCTCCATATATTTATTTTGAAGTCAGCACCTCACTTTTCTTGTGACATATTGCCTAAAGTTGTGTGAGCATACTCACATATCTCCACATTGAGAGTCCTTTTTCTGACAAACTTAGGAAAAAGAAAACAGAATTTATTTTATTTTCCCCTTAGATAAACACGAGGTAATTTTCCTATAAAGTTATATCCCATTTTGGTGTCACAACACAGACTATTTTAACTAGTAAATTCATTAAAAAATACAGACACATGAAACTAGATACGATATGAAGTCACATTTAAGAAGGAAATCGAGTGTTCAGATGTCTTTTCAACTTACCTTGCCCATGAGCACAGGAAACCCACAAGGTGAGAATGATACTGATTAGTAACAGCATGTTAGTTATTCCCAATGGTGTATCAATACAAATATTCCAGTTGTGCTCTTTGTGGTTTTAAATCTGTTCTGTTAGCAGTTACCAAGTGTGACCCTGAATTTAAGTGCACTACCATGAAGCTCGTCAATTGAGGTTACTTAGTAAATATCAAAGTTCAACGAAGTTTGCAAAGTCTCTCAATTCCTATTAGTGGTTTCACAATAATTTCTTGAATTCATTCCCTGATATGTACTTGTACAACTTTATTTAGGGACAGTAACAGGTTGGACCCAAAAGTAAGAAAACACTAAACTTTAAATAAACACCTATTGAAAATTGGTAAGGCTATTTCTCAACCAGATGAATCATATGCAGTGATATGCATATGCATAACTGAGTCTCTGTCATTGTATTTTTCTCTTGTCCTTTACTTACCCTCATTATGTAATTAATTAGGGGTCTATGAAAACCAGTGTGCATTTGGACCCTATTCCATTATCTATATTTTCTTATGCTTAGGGGAACACCGCTTGACTTTTAAACTCACATTAGATTACACTACTGAGTACAAGAGTTTCAGCATCTTCTTGGCATTTAAATATCCTTTAACCAACATGCTTTGAGGCACCTTTTATTTTAGGGTACAATATATTCAGAGGCATGCAGGGATATCCCTTTTGTTTTAGGAACATAACTCAAATGCCCTCACAGCTGTCCTTTCACTGATTTATTAATTGCATTTGTTCTGATTTTTTAGATATACATGCATATTTACATATATATAGCTAATTATATTTGCCATCTTCAAAGATACAATTACTTAATATAAGAGCATTGTTTTCAAGCAGATAATTAATATGGAAAATATAATATTACTATAAAGGAGGAGAAAATAAATCAGTCATCACTGTCATAGAGTTAACGCATTGAAATTTATTTATTTCCTTACTATAACTGCATGGTTTTAAATATTAAATAATTTAGTAATATATACAACTAATACTTCCAGAATACAAAAATAGCTTATATTAAAGTGAACCTCGGGGTGTCTGGGTGGCTCAGTCAGTTAAGCGTCTGACTCTTGGTTTCGGCTCAGGTCATGATCTTACCGTTCGTGAGTTTGATCCCCACATCGGGCTCCATGCTGACACTGTGGAGCCTGCTTGGAATTTTGTCTCCCTCTCTCTTTCTGCCCCTCCCCTGCTCACTCTCTGTCTCTCTCTCAAAAATAAACAAATAAACTTAAAAAATAATAAAGTGAACCTCCTACAAATAACAGATATAAACTCGGCACAAATTACAAAAATGAACTGCTTGAGTGAGTTAATGCAAGCAGAAAATGAAAAGTGTCCAATCTTTGAAAAAATTGAATTAAACTCTGAGATCCATCTTTATGTATTTTATGAATTTAGAACACACCTACATCCACATGGTGCATGGATGATAGAACTCAGGCAGAAAGCAGGAGTCTCACCCGTGGGACAATTTAGGGACCTGAGTATGGGCCTGGAAGAACCTCTGCCAGGTGAGAAGAGAAATGTATGGAGCTTCATCAGGGAAACCCCCAATAATCTCCACATGTCCCCTTAAATTATTCCCTAATCAATATGAGCCTGCATGGGGCAAAACCCCAAGCAGCCCAGTGGGAAGAAACTACTGACTGCAAGGCTGAAAACTTTGAACACTTCAGGTAGTAATCAGTGTAGAAGAGAACGGGTTTGGAGTTCAAGGCCAGCATAGCTTATTAAAGTTGTCACATTTTACTTGAACCAGACAGATATGTCTTAGGAGTAAATACCATGTCCCAGGAGTTGACTAAGGGCTATATTCTTGTATTAAGGCAACACTGAAATAGATCAACTCTAAAAAAACCCTTAAAACTAAGACCTCACAGGATTACAGTATTCCACCAGGAACATAACTTCTGTCTTGTATTCCTTTATAAGACAGTCAGCCAGATATGATGGCCATAAGAAGAGACAGAGGGTAGATTTAGGAAAAAATAAAGTTTATTATACTCACAAGTCCTAGAGGCAGAGTCAGAAGATAGGGATGAGGGGAAGGTTTGGGGGCCAGAAGAGGTACGGCTCTGGATTGGTTAGTTTGTAGATCAAAGACAGTCTCCTGTCTGGGCTCTTTGATATCTCTAAGATTTAGTAGTCTCTCTTCAGTCAGAGGTTTTGTAAGATATCAAACCATCATAATATACAGAAGATGAAAAAATTTACAATAGAACTTCTACTAGAAGAAAAATCTATGTGATTCAGAGGTAAACACCAGAATCCATAAATCTCTACAATGTTTTCTGGTGATGTTCATTGTACAATAAAAACTTACTGGACATGCAGAGAAGCAGAAAATATGAACCATAGTCAGAGGAAGAGAGCTACCAAAAGAAACAGACCTAAACACAAACAGTATGCTAGAATAAATAAGATAAACATAACTTTTCAATGACTATGAAATAGAAGTTAAAGAATTTACAGGAAAACTTATATATAATTGTTTAAGAGATGTTGACTTTCAGAATAGAGGCAGACAGTGTCTAAGTACCAAATATGAATCCTAGCATTAATGCTAGATATAATCTTCATAAAAACTGTAGAAAAATAATAACAATGAGAAATGTAAAAGAAGAAATAAATGGACTTGAAAGTAGGTTAATAAAAGTTATCTGAAGTAAATATCTTAAAAATAAAAATGAGAATCAAAAATTAAAGACTCAGTGATCTGTGGGGCAGTATCATGTGATCAAACAAGAGGAGAGAAAGTTCAGGGCAGAAGACCAATTTGAAAAATTATGGATAGCAATCTTCTAAATGTTATTCAAGACATGAAGCCATGGAACCAAGAAGCTCAGCTAACATCAAGAACGACAAATACACAGAAAACCATAATTAAAAAAACAACAAAACTGTTAAAAATCAACATTAAAAAGAAAGCTTTGAAAGCACCTAGAAAAAAAATGGAGAAAGAACATACATCATACATAGACAATGCCAATCCAGAGATGAGCTAATACTGACAGCAGACTTCTCATCGAAAACTAAGGGCCGGAAAACTAAAGAATTACATCTTTAAAGTATTAAACACACAAAATAATAAGGTGTTAAACATACCACGTACATGCACGCACACACATTGTCAAGTAAGAATACAATACCCATCAAAAAGATTCTTCAAAACCAAAAGTGAAATAAATACATTTTCAGATTATTTCAGAGAATTTGTTACAAATGATCCACGCTACAAGTAAGATGAAAAGAAACTATTCCAGAGAAATAAAACTGATACTAGCTGGATATGTGGATCCCAGAAAAGAGCCTAGACCCTGAAAGTGATCAAGGATGCCACTTGATTTGATGCAATATGAAGTAACAAGATATCACCTTAAAATATTTTTACCTTAATTATGTATATCCTTATTTTCATCTTAAAGTTTTCATATTTTTAGATACTTAAAATGTTTATAGTCGGGGCGCCTGGGTGGCGCAGTCGGTTAAGCATCCGACTTCAGCCAGGTCACGATCTCGCGGTCCGTGAGTTCGAGCCCCGCATCGGGCTCTGGGCTGATGGCTCAGAGCCTGGAGCCTGTTTCCGATTCTGTGTCTCCCTCTCTCTCTGCCCCTCGCCCGTTCATGCTCTGTCTCTCTCTGTCCCAAAAATAAATAAACGGTGAAAAAAAAATTTTTTTTTAAATTTAAAAAAAAGTTTATAGTCAACTGATTTTAACTAATTATATTGTTTGAAATGCATGAACATAAAAATCACATTGCAGACCCTTGTCTTTGAATGTTTCCAAAACCCTCTATACCAGCAGAATCGTGAAAATGTTTTTAGATTTTAAGATCATTACCAAAAAGGTCTTCATCGTTTTCAACATGTGTTATCTTAGTTTTTAATATATCTTTATTCTAAAATAATATATTCTTGTGATCCAAAGGTGATATATGCTAAAGGAAGAAAAAATGGAGAATACTGTTAAGTATTAAGCAGTTAAATACAAACTCTGACCATTAGTATTTCTAACTATAGTTATTGTAAATATTCAATCATACTTCTGCTGACCTTTGTCTTATAAACATTTATCCAATGTTCAAAGCATAGCGTACATATGTGTGTAAGTTTATACTTGATATTGGATTTTTTGTCACTTTTCATGTCCTGTAGTGATAGTTATGTACCCAATTATGATTGGTTTTAATCTTTATGTGTGCTAGATTGTCATCTTGTTAAGAGATTATGCATTTCATCATTTTTTGTGTATAGATATCTATAGACAAATAAGCAAAAGTTAGGTGATAGCTACTTACATCTTATTGCTAACACAGGAATGACATAATTAGGTTTTTATGTGTTTTTGAAGTGATATTATTTTGCAAAGGGAGAAAAGCATTTTCTCCCATTTTCTCTGAAACAAGAGTCTCAGGAAGCCTCAGAAGTTATAGAGGGAGCTTTGAGAAAGTTAGGAGAAAGATGGATAGAAGCAGGCACTGAAGTGATTGAACCTAATTTCTCACCGTATATATTTTATGAATAGGACACATAGTATTTTGGTTTGCCAAGTTTTAATGTGGTGCTTTTAAGAAGTGATTCATTTGTCTCTTAGATTATAATTATACTATCTATATATTTTAAACACATATTCTGATTTATGATTAAAATGAGTTAATACTTGAAAAAATAAACTGAGAATTGATTAATCATGAAAAATGCTGAATAAATGTACCTATTTTAATTTTAGGACTGCATTTTAACCACTGTTTAAAAAAATTTTTTTTTTTTAACTTTTATTCATTCTTGAGACAGAGAGAGACAGAGCATGAACGGGCGAGGGGCAGAGAGAGAGGGAGACACAGAATCGGAAGCAGGCTCCAGGCTCTGAGCCATCAGCCCAGAGCCCGATGCGGGGCTCGAACTCACGGGCCGCGAGATCGTGACCTGAGCCGAAGTCGGACGCTCAACCAACTGAGCCACCCAGGCACCCCTAACCACTGTTTTATACACAAACACAATACATCAGTCTCCCTTCTCAACAGGTTGCTCGGAATGTAGGAAGTGGTGTGTGTCTACAATAGCCAGTTTTACATGCAAATTCAACAGAATCCCCTGGTTTATCATAAATTTGTTTCTTAAAACTCCATCGTAACTGTATGCTATGTTTTTTCAAGATTTCTTCTGCTCATACACCTGAAAGTGCAAAAAATGAACATGAAACATTAAGTAGTAAATAAGTATTTTCCACAGAATTTCAGACTTTCAGGTGCAATCTTCCATGCTGGCTCACGGCTTCACTCTCAAAGTCTTTTCTAAACCAACTGATTGAAAATCCATCATGTTGACTTAAATTATTTTAAGCAATTAATGAATTAATGATGTAAAAATGAGGTACCATGTTTAATGTGTGATAATTAAATGTTCTAGCCAAAGATTCACAGTGTCAATTATCACACGAAGAGCTTTCATTAAAGAATATTTTGTTGCTGGGCGCCTGGGTGGCTCAGTCGTTAAGCATCCAACTTCGGCTCAGGTCACAATCCCACAGTTTGTGAGTTCAAGTCCTATACTGGGTGAGCTTGAGCCCCATTTCAGGTGAGTCCTCTTCTCTCTCTCTCTCTCTGCTCTCGCTCACTTGCTCCCTCTCTCTCTCTCTCTCAAAAAAAAAAAATTTTGTTGTTGTTGCTTGAACAGGAATTTTCCAGACTTTATTTACTCACATATTAATATTTAGTAGTCAAGCGTTCAACAGAATGATTGCTAGTTAACCCATGAAAATTCTATTATAAATAGATATTCTACCAGAATATTAAAATACTTACCTAAGCATTTTGGTGGTTCTGACCACTGTCCATAGTACATATTATGTTCCTGTTTCCTTGAAGTTCATAGAAGGACTGGCATTGGTACTCCACTGATGATCCTGGAGCGTATGCTGGTAATGTGAATGAGGTAATGTCTACATCGTCAATAGGTGGAGGGGGTCCACAGTTTCCTTTAGAGTTTAAAAAAAAATTATTTCATTTCTTGAAAGACTAAAGAAAAACAGTTTACAATAAAGCAATAAAAATATAGCACCACACTTAATATCAAGACGTGATTTCTGCTGACATAAATGATTCCTTGAAGAAATTTTAATCACTTAAACTTGGAATCACACTTTTAAGCCCTTCTTTTTATCCCACATGAAAGTGCACAGAAAACATTAACAAACATATCTGTTTTGCAATATTGTGATATTGATATCACAGTTTTTCTTGGTGAATATTTGCTGGATAGATGGCTAGCTAATGTAAACAAAAAAGTTTTCTTGTTATACACAACATACTACAGGGTCCACTGGATCTCTAGTCATTTTTTTCATTGATTTTCATTTTTATTACAAAGGAAACACCACCTTTGATAAAATTCAAGGAATTACACATTTGTATAATGCGAAAGGGCATTGCTAGCTTCCTGTTCTGGACAAGATGAAATAGAAACATTTCTGCTTATTCCTTCTGCTAAGTAAAAATCCTGAATATATTTAAAAATCCAACATAAGATGGCACAAAAACAGACACATAGACCAATGGAATAGAATAGAAACCCCAGAACTAGACCCACAAACGTATGGCCAACTCATCTTTGACAAAGCAGGAAAGAACATCCAATGGAAAAAAGACAGTCTCTTTAACAAATGGTGCTGGGAGAACTGGACAGCAACATGCAGAAGGTTGAAACTAGACCACTTTCTCACACCATTCACAAAAATAAACTCAAAATGGATAAAGGACCTGAATGTGAGACAGGAAACCATCAAAACCCTAGAGGAGAAAGCAGGAAAAGACCTCTCTGACCTCAGCCGTAGCAATCTCTTACTCGACACATCCCCAAAGGCAAGGGAATTAAAAGCAAAAGTGAATTACTGGGACCTTATGAAGATAAAAAGCTTCTGCACAGCAAAGGAAACAACCAACAAAACTAAAAGGCAACCAACGGAATGGGAAAAGATATTTGCAAATGACATATCGGACAAAGGGCTAGTATCCAAAATCTATAAAGAGCTCACCAAACTCCACACCCGAAAAGCAAATAACCCAGTGAAGAAATGGGCAGAAAACATGAATAGACACTTCTCTAAAGAAGACATCCGGATGGCCAACAGGCACATGAAAAGATGTTCAGCGTCGCTCCTTATCAGGGAAATACAAATCAAAACCACACTCAGGTATCACCTCACGCCAGTCAGAGTGGCCAAAATGAACAAATCAGGAGACTATAGATGCTGGAGAGGATGTGGAGAAACGGGAACCCTCTTGCACTGTTGGTGGGAATGCAAATTGGTGCAGCCGCTCTGGAAAGCAGTGTGGAGGTTCCTCAGAAAATTAAAAATAGACCTACCCTATGACCCAGCAATAGCACTGCTAGGAATTTATCCAAGGGACACAGGAGTACTGATGCATAGGGGCACTTGTACCCCAATGTTCATAGCAGCACTCTCAACAATAGCCAAATTATGGAAAGAGCCTAAATGTCCATCAACTGATGAATGGATAAAGAAATTGTGGTTTATATACACTATGGAATACTACGTGGCAATGAGAAAAAATGAAATATGGCCTTTTGTAGCAACGTGGATGGAACTGGAGAGTGTGATGCTAAGTGAAATAAGCCATACAGAGAAAGACAGATACCATATGGTTTCACTCTTATGTGGATCCTGAGAAACTTAACAGGAACCCATGGGGGAGGGGAAGGAAAAAAAAAAAAAAAAAGAGGTTAGAGTGGGAGAGAGCCAAAGCATAAGAGACTGTTGAGAACTGAGAGCAAACTGAGGGTTGATGGGGGGTGGGAGGGAGGAGAGGGTGGGTGATGGGTATTGAGGAGGGCACCTTTTGGGATGAGCACTGGGTGTTGTATGGAAACCAATTTGACAATAAATTTCATATATAAATAAAATAAATAAATAAATAAATAAAATAAAGGGAGAGGCTTGACAAAAAATAGAGAATTTTTGTAAAACTGTGAGGAAAATTGTATGTGATAGAAATACTTTATATTCTGGCTATCCTGTCCTTCAGAGAAAACTATCTTTTAAAAAAAATAATGTTTATTTATTTTGAAAGAGAGAGAGATAGAGCAGGAGCTGGGAAAGGGTAGAGTGAGAGGGAGACACAGAATCCGAATCAGTGGCTGTAAGACAGTTTCCTAAAGATGAAATGTTTTCTAAGTTCTAAGATTAGACCATCTAAGATGTTAATGTCTATCAACTTACAATGTCATTAACAGGGAATGTTTGAGGTTGCCTATTTTCCTCATGGCTTTCATAATGTGAACATACAGTCCTATGTGGTTGGAAGCTCCTGGGCGGGTGGGGGGTGGGGGGGAAGGTGTGCAACATGGAAAACATGGTGGCCCTGATTTCTAAAAACTCTAAAATCAGACTGAGTTAGTAGACTATTAAGTAGAAAGTAGTAGCTTTTTTTCATTTTAATTTGCATCCATTTAATTATAAGGGTGTTTCAGCATGTTTTTATGTTAATAATCCACTTATAGATGTATGTGTGTCTATAGTCTTATTCATGCTGTTTCCCTATTTGTTTTCCTGATGGATTATAGGTCGAAACTCTTTATACATTAAGGACTTAAAGATTAAAAATAATTATTATTTTAAAAAAAATCCAACATAAGAGACTGTGAAAGATGTAGACAAGTAATCAATCTTTCAAGGACTTCAGAATTCAAGGAATCACACTGCAGTGAGTTGTTTGGTTTTTCATTTTGCCTTCTATATATCCTAGGCTGGGCACTGAAGAAGAGTGTAATCCAGAAATGATATCAAGTTCAGGCATAAAAAAGGTTCCAAGAATTTCCTTTGTCCCTTTAGACAATGGTTCAGGAAAGGAGCGACCTAGCAAGGCAAGCATTTTTTACAAGACTTAAATTACTTCAGAAAAACTTCATAGAAGAAACCTAAGACCACCCCTCTCCCCACCTTGATCCAAAGACCAAGTGAAGAGTGTGGACTCGCACCCTGCCTGGTGGCGATGGGGACCTGATAAACAAAAGATTTCAATAAAATCCAAAGTCTTAAAACATAATACCCAAAATGTCCTGTATATATTTGAAAATCATTCATCATACCAAGGAGCAGAAAAATCTCAAAAGGGAAAAGGAAATCAACACAAGACCACACTGAGTCGATAAGGATATTGGAATTACTTGACAATGGTTTTAAAAAATCCAATGTGAACATAGAACTGAATAATGTAATAATAAAATTTCTTAAAAACTTATTGGATGGGCTCAATTATAGATATCAGATGACTGTAGGATGCACAAACTTAAACAAAGAACACAGATTACTCACTTTGAAAATATACTGAAAACAACAACATAAAGTGAACAGAGCTTTAGGGACCTGTGGGAAGACAGCAAAAGACTGGATACCCAGAAAGAGAAAAGAGGTTGGAGATGAAAGAAAACAACTTCCAAAAATAATGACTGAAAAGTTCCCAAATTGGACATAAGGCATAAACCTACACATTAAAAAAGCTGGACACGATAAACAAAGAAATTCATGCCAAGATACATCATAATCAAACTGCTAAAAACTGGTAAGAAAAGGAAAAAAAATCAAAAGCAGTGAAATACCACCTCACATCTGTCAGAATGGCTAAAATCAACAACACAAGAAACAACAGGTTTTGGCAAGGATGCAGAGAAAGGGGAACACTCTTGCACCGTTGGTGGGAATGCAAACTGGCGCAGCCACTCTGAAGAACAGTATGGAGGTTCCTCAAGAAACTAAAAAAAGAACTACCTTCGATCCAGCAATTGCACTCTTAGGTATTTACTCAAAGGATGCAAAAATTCAAATTCAAAGGGGTACATGCACCCCAGTGTTTATATAGCAGCATTATCAACAATAGCCAAACTATGGAGAGAGCCCAAATGTCCACTAACTGATGAATAGACAAAGAAGATATAGTATGTACACACACACACACACACACACACACACACACACACTGGAATATCACTCAGCCACCAAAGAGAATATCATTTGCAATGATGTGGATGGAGCTAGAATGTATTACGCTAAGCAAAATAAGTCAATCAGAAAAAAAAATAAGTGAATCGGAGAAAGATAGGATTTCACTCATATGTGGAATTTAAGAAGCAAAACAGATGAACATATGGGAAGGGGGGAAGAGAGAGAGGGAAACAAACCACAAGAGATTCTTAATGATAGAGAACAAACTGTGTTGCCAGAGGGGGGTGGGGGGGATGGGCTAGATGGGGGATGGGTACTAAGGAGGGCACTTGTTGGGATGAGCACTGGGTGTTGTATCTAAGTGATGAATCAGTGACTTTTACTCCTGAAACCAATATTGCACTGTATGTTAACTAACTAAAATTGAGAGGAAAAGAAGAACAGCAAATAGAAAAAAGAGGTAAATAAAAAGAAATGATTACATAGGAGGAGCTACCATCATATCACAGAGAAAGTGCACAAATGCTTCCTAAAACCACCATTCTGATGTGTATCCAGCTGCCAACCTGAGCAAGAACATGAAATTTAAAACGTCTATTTATTTATGAAAGAGTTCTTCAATGATTCTCAAACCAATAATGGATAATAAAAGGAAAAGCATTGAGAATTAACCATTAAGAAAAGTACCATAAATTGTATATCAGAAGGGGCATTATAGGAAAACAAGAAATGTTTTTTTAAAAATCTCCTGGAAAAGCAAGCATGAAAACTTACATAAATAGATAAGAATGTGAATAGGTAAACTTATATGAATAAGTAGGTTTAGTCTCACTACATATCTAGTTTTAATTTTTTTAATGCCAGAATTAAAAGGGATTCTATTATGAACCAATCAAATTAACAAAAATAGGATTGAGGGGCGCCTGGGTGGCGCAGTCGGTTAAGCGTCCGACTTCAGCCAGGTCACGATCTCGCGGTCCGTGAGTTCGAGCCCCGCGTCAGGCTCTGGGCTGATGGCTCAGAGCCTGGAGCCTGTTTCCGGTTCTGTGTCTCCCTCTCTCTCTGCCCCTCCCCCGTTCATGCTCTGTCTCTCTCTGTCCCAAAAATAAATAAACGTTGAAAAAAAAAAAATTTTTTTTTAAAAAAAAATAGGATTGAATTCATCATGCAAAAATTGTTTGCTAAAATACATAAATATATAAATGATTTTAAACATTTAGGTATAAATTATTTTATATATTTAGAAATCTATAGGATTTTGTCTCATGACTTCGATGCCAATTTATTATGTTTAATGAATCGTATTGAAAATAGATTTTAGTTTGCGTACTGCCCTCACCTACACACTGAGGTGGAGAACTCCATTTTCCCATGTGACAAGTTATCTTGTCCTCTGCAGATATCCTGTAACCATCTTCACAAATATAACTTAATTTAGTGCCATGTGCATAAACCCTGGGTTTAAATGTTTCTTTAATGCGTCCATTTTCTACATGAGGTGGTTGAGAACATGGAATTTTTTCTATGTGAAGAATAGAGATCAAAGAGTCAAGCACAAATATAATGTTTTACATTGAAAAACACAAACAAACACTGCCTGGGGATTTTAAAATATGGATAATTTGAACAAATTAAATTATTTAAAACTGAAACTCTTTGAAACTTGCAAGGATATATGTCTCCCTAATATCTATGCTACTATCCTCCTGTTCAATATGCCCCTTCATTCTTGTCTTGTTCATCATATGGAGTGAAACAGGCAAAAACAGAAATCTTATCCCAGATTTACAGAAGGTTTTTGTAAGGTTTTGTCTGTGTTCATTTCACAGAGTGAAAGAACGGGGACTGATTTGTATACTTCGATTGAAATTTACTGTATCAAGATCAAGTTTAACATAGAGAAAGGCATAGAGAAAGGTTTAACATAGAGAATGAACATATTCAGGGCACCTGGGTGGCTCAGTCGGTTAAGCGTCTGACTTCAGCTCAGGTCACGATCTCGCGGTCCGTGAGTTCGAGCCCCGCGTCGGGCTCTGGGCTGATGGCTCAGAGCCTGGAGCCTGCTTCCGATTCTGTGTCTCCCTCTCTCTCTGTCCCTCCCCCCGTTCATGCTCTCTCTCTGTCTCAAAAATAAATAAACGTTAAAAAAAAAAAGAGAATGAACATATTCTTGTTCATTTATACAAGGCACAGGGGAGTGTTAACCTCATTCAAAGAACATCATAAAGCAAGTTATGCGCTACTGACCAACACAGCGTGGTGTTGACCGCCATCTTCCATCTTTACACACAATTTCTGCTGCATCGCAAATTATAGAATTTTCTTGACACAGAACAGATATTTTTTCTCCATCACCGTACTTCACTGTAGTTGTCATATCTCGAGCATTGGGAATCTGAGGTGGAGGTGGGCATGACTGCATTTGTAGCTCTAAAAATATTAAAATTAGATTTCTTGATTAAAAATCATAACTTAAATGTATCAAGAGGTTAATTTAGCAGAGAACTCAAAATGATGTATCATAAATGGTCAAATAATAATGGCATGTTCTGGGTTTAAATATGGTATACTCTTTGATACTTCAGTGTATCACATTTGGCTTATTCTCATGGTTTTCTTTGTTGTTTCTTTTATTCTTTCTGTGATCATAATTTATATAAAACCTCTTCTAATTATTTCTAACCATTAAGATGTTCTGAGTTACTCAGTATCAGGCACTAAATAAAGGTTTTCTGAGCATACCCCAGGAAGTCTTCTAAATCCTTTCAATTGTCCACATTTTACATTTAATTCAGGGAAACATTTGAGTAAACTTTATTTGTGCTACTAATGTCAGATTTTCTATTTCTAAGCTGACATGAGTATTGTATATTTCGTCACAAATTTTTTTTCTTATATTTATTTTAAGTATTTGGCATATTTTTTTAACATATTCTCTTCTATGTCTGATATTTAATCACTTTTAGTCCTAATGATTCAAACTTGTACTTCCTCTTGATAAGTCTTGCCATAGGTTGAATTTAGCTGAATTTTAGCATGATACTCATCTAATTGTATACATTATATATGTGTAGTTCTTTATATAACAATCATACCACAATAAAGTTGTTTTAAAAAGAAAAATGATTAGAAAACATAAATATATGGAAATTAAACAACAAATTTCTGAATAACTGACAGGTCAAAGAAGAAATCAAAAGAATATTAGAAAGAAAATATTTTATATAGAATTTAATGAAAATATAATGTATACAAAAATTTTCGAGACACAGCTAAAGTAGTGCTTAGAAAGAAAAATGCAGTTTTGAAGTTTATATTTTAAAAGTAGGATGGTTTAAGTCCATATTTTAATTTTCTACTTTAAGAAATAATATGTGTAATAATATTACACATGTACCTTCAGAACAATAGAGGATTACAGAACACTTCTTAACTTGATTTCTCAGTCTATAGTATTCCTAACAACAAAACCTGGCAGAGACATTACAAGCAAAAGTAACTGTAGGTTAATATCCCCCATGAACATAGATGTAAAAAAAAAAAACCTTAAAACTATATCAGTAAATTTAGTACATGAGAATACATCACTACCAAGTTGACTTAAGAAATGAGAGATTTAAGGGGCACCTGGGTGGCTCAGTTGGTTAAGTGTCTGACTTCGACTCAGGTCATGATATCACGGTTTGTGAGTTTGAGCCCTATGTTGAACTCTGTGCTGACAGCTCAGAGCCTGGAGGCTGCTTTGGATTCTGTCTCCCTCTCTCTCTGCCTCTCCCCTGCTCACTCTGTCCCTCTCTCTCTCAAAAATAAAGAAACATTAAAATGAATAAATAAATAAATAAATAAATTATTCAACATTAAAAAACTTATACATGTAATTCATTGTAATAACAGAATTAAGAAAGCCACATTATCACATCAAGAGTACATCAAAAGCACTTGAAACATCAGTGGTTGATGATAAAATTGACTCAGCCAAGTAGGAACAGAAAAAAATTCCTTTGATCCAATAAAGGATATCTATAAAAATCCTAAACTGACATTATAATTATGGTAAAATGTTAAATGCCCTCTCCCAGTGGTCAGGAATAAGACAAAGATGTTTCTTCCTTTAAAAAGTTTACTTAAGGGGCGCCTGGGTGGCTCAGTCAGTTGAGTGACCAACTTCAGCTCAGGTCATGATCTCACAGCTCGTGAGTTCGAGCCCCGCATCAGGCTCTGTGCTGACCGTGCGGAGCCTGGAGCCTGCTTCAGATTCTGTGTCTTCCTCTCTCTCTGCCCCTAACCCACTCGCATTCTGTCTCTGTCTCTCTCAAAAATACATAAAACATTTAAAAAGTTTATTTAAGGTCCTAGCCAATGCAACAAGATAAGAAAATAAACAAAAAGTAAAAATAAGAACAGACTCAGACAGATTTAAAATCTTGTATTTGTAATGACATAACTGCTCATAGAAAATTGTAACAGATCTAAATAAAAAAAAGAAAACTATAACAGATCAACAAAATGATACATAAAATAAGGCAACTTAATATAGTTTCAAACTATAAAATCAATATATAAAAGTCAAGTGCATTTCTTTATACTTGCAGTAAAACTGGAAAATATAATTTTGAAAAACTGCATTTATAGCATAAAAATATAAAACAGGAATAATTTTTTTATAGCTGTAAAACTTCTACACTTAAAACATTATTGGGAAAATAGAAGCATAAAAAATAATTGAAGAAATCTAGTTTCTTCAATCTAGTTTATGGATTCTAGTCTATGGATTCTAATCTATGGATTCTAGTTTATGGATTCTTCAATCTAGTTTATGGATTGAACACTCAATATGATTAAGATGCCAATTCTCCCTAATTTATTTTTCATTATACAAACCATCCATTTCATTATACAAGCAGATATCTTATAGAAATTCATAAGCTTTCCTTGAAATTTTTATGGAAATGAAAAGACCAGAATGAGGAAAGCAATTTTGAATAGCAAGAACATATCGGAGAACACAAATCAGACTTCAAGACTTACTATAAAGCTATAGTTACCAAGGCAATGGGGCAGGAATAAAGATAGATAAATGGATACATGGGCTGAGTAGAGAGTCTAGAAGTAGATCAATACTTACATAGTTAATGGATTTTCATTTCAAAGTCCTTTCCACACATATTGCTAGAACAGTTGGCTACCTATATTTTTTTAAAAATCAACCCCTATTTTATGCCAAACTCAAAAATTAATATAATATGGGTGATATACCTAAATATAAATGCTAAAACTATAAAGCTTCTAGAAGAAAATGTAGAGCATATATGCTTCATTGCACATAAATATTTATTTCCTTTTACAAAAGAACAAAAAATACGTTGAACCATAGATAGTAGGTTGGGTCCTTATATTCACGTGACACTACTTTCCATGTATTCTAGGCTTGGGGAAATTAGTTAAAATATTGAGGAGAGTAAGTTAAGGTGTCCTACTGATAGAGAAGAGAGATACAAATATGAAGAGTGGAAAAATGGAATAAAGCCTGTGCTATTCAATAGGGATCAGTGGTGTCAGCAGATACGGAAGTTTCAAGACAGGTAAACACATAAATAAATAGGTGATAAGGGAGATTCATGCATCAATAAATAGATACATACATAGATACATTAATGGATATATTTATAGGTACATAGATACATACTAGTTATAGGCATAGGCATAGGTATAGGTACCTTTGTGTGTAATAAAGGGAGTTAAAAGCAATGGTATTCCAATAGTAATTTGTACACCTACTGCCCGGATGTTAATTTAAAGCCAAGTTTGTAGGTGCTAATGTTATATCGCTGACTAATACGGTAATGATACAGTAACACTAATACAATAATGATACAATAAGTATTTAGAAGCAGTGTTTTGGCTCTTTTTTTAAAATTACCTTCCCACTTGAAAATTATTTGTAATAATAAATAGCTAATTTTTTAAGGCACAAAGATCATTCTTTTACAGGTTAGAAAGAAACCACATAAATCCTTAAAAACATTATAAATAAGAGCTTACCTGTGCAGGTTATTTCAGGATCCCATCTTCCATTTATGCAGATTGAGTGTTTGTAGTCTGTTCTTCCTCTACATTTGTAACGCATGTTGGTATTATGATCAGTCACCTCATATGAAACTAACTGTGATGATTTACACTTCTTAAGTTCATTTGTTGCTATAAAATTAAAATATTCCCTTGAAAAGACTAATCATAAAAATCAAAACAACTACTACATAAAAAATAGCTATAGAGTCAGTAGTCTAACGTATGCTCGTAAATTCCACCAAGTCATCCTGATCATATTGCATGAGATGGGCTTGTCATAAATAACAAGTGTTGGTGAGGATATGGAGAAAAGGGAACCCTTGTACATTGTTGCTGGGAATGTAAATTGGTGCAGCCACTTCGGAAAACAGTACGGAGGTTCCTCAAAAAATTAAAAATAGAACTACCATATGATCTAGCAATTCCACTTCTAAGTATTTATCTGGAAAAAAAAATGAAAACACTAACTGAAAAGATGTATGCACCCCATATTTATTGTAGCATTATTTACAACAGCCAAGATATGGAAGCCATCTAAATGTCCATTGACACATGAATAGATAAGGAAGATGTGGTATATAAATACAAGGGAATATTTATTCAGCCATAAAAAACAATAAAATCTTGCCATTTGCAACAACATGGATAGACCTTAGGACATTATGATAAGGAAAAGAAGTCAGACAGACAAATACCATAGTATTTACTTATATTTGGAATCTAAAAAACAAATTGAAAGTTCATGGATACAAAGAACAAATTGGTCATTGTCAGAAGCGGGGTGGGGTCAGGTGAAATGGGTGAAGAGAGTCAAAAGATACAAACTTCCAGTTATAGAATAACTAAGTCGTGGGGATGTAATGAACAGCATAGTGACTGTAATTAATAATACTGTGTTGTATGTTTATAAGTTGCTAAGAAGTAGATCTTGAAAGTTTTCATTACAAGAAAAAACAATCTATAACTATGTATGGTGATAGATGATAGATTTAGTGTGATCATTTCACAATGTATACAAATATCAAATCATTATGTTGTATACCTAAAATGAACATAATGCTGTATGTCAATTATAAATGTATATATGTACCTATAAAAATTAAAACCCCCCTTAAAAAAGAAATTGGTTGTTTAAAGTCACGGACTGTTTTCTGTATATGCTCTTAGAATCTTTGAGAAGCTATTCTTTTTTATACCTAGTCATCCTATAATCCAATAGTATTATAATGCCATAATAATAAATTTTTGCTAGCTTCAATATGTTACTTATGGACTATAGAGGCTTTTTATATAGCTATACATTTCAATAATTCAATAAAAACGGGGGTCCTTTTTGAAGTTGATAAAATCTCTTCATAGGCCTTTGCTAGGATTTGTTAATGGTTTAAAATACAGAGTCAGGTGAGTACGAATAGAGCAAACTCAAATAAATTGGCCGAAGAAAAGATTTTGCAATGCAACCTTAAGAAAAAAATAAATAAAAAGGAGTCTAATTCAAAACAAACTAGAGGCTCCAGGCTTCGTCCTATTTGTAGAACTGGTCCAGAGTGTTGAGGGAGAGAAAACAAGGTATTCTTCAAGTGATGGTAACTGAAGGAAGATCTGTAATCAAGAGGAGCGGTGGTGGTTGTTGTCATGCCCAATTTTTGAAAGGATTTCTTTGTTCATGAGGAGAAAATAAACATATGGAGAAAAGTGAAAGGAAGAGTGGAGGTACAAAGTAAAAACACTGAGAGGGGAAAACTGGAGTAAAACCTAACGTAGCTGAAAAGGTGACATTAAATATAATACAGGTAGAGGATTAATGTTAAGAAGGAAAACTGAGACCAGAGGAGAGTAATCACTGAAGCAGATGTTTTGGTGTTAAGTTATAATGAAAAGATGAGAGTTTTCATGCCTGGTATTACCTTCGGTTTTTTCCCCGCATATGACAGAAGTGAGGTGAGATCATTTGTGGGGATAGGATCGCATTAAAATGAGGTTTGGTCTTGGCGGACTGACAATACCTTTGACAGGAATGTGTTTAGAAATAAGCAACAAAATGTATTGATCTATTTAACAAATTCCTACTGAATGCCTCCTCTATGTCAGCCAGTCTTCTGAGGATTGGGAACAAGTCAGTGAAGTATGAATCCCTGTTTCCTTGGAGATTGAATCCCAACTGTATCTTCTCTTGGGATTAATTAATTCCCAGAAATTGGATGAATAAATGAAACTGGACATCCTGGTCTCTCTTTGAATGTAGAACCCAGAAAAACTCTTGGAAAGAACTCATTCAAAGGGAAAAGTGAAAGAAGGCCCCCAAGGTTCTCCAAGTTAGTCCTCAAAGGGCAGGATGATTCACTTACAGAATCAGAATTTTTTTCTTGGCTCAATCTCACCTGCCTCCTATGACTGAGTTATACTATTGACCGCCCACCCTCCAGCACATGAACTTCTTTTCGCTGCATTTGAAACTGGCTGAGGAATCATCTTTTGTTAGAAAATTTGATAGAGGCAAGATTCCTATGGGAGTGTAGCTAGTGGTATTTTGTCAACTTTATTTCCTTGTTTTCCAGGGCCTGAAAGAAAGAGTGCCCTATAAAAACAAAAATGGTATTTATGCAAAGATAGTTATATTTTCCTGGTAATTAGTACTCATGTTTTAATCATATATACACCTGCAAGTAAAATTTAGCTTCACACTTATAAACAATGTCAATATCAGGGACAGGGAGCATCATAAAATTCAATTGCTAGTTTATATTTTTCCTCTGTTGGTACATATTGAACTATAACAACAAATGTTTGAATATAATTTAAGACCTGATGTGTTTCACAAATATCTCTAAATTTTAAAAATATTGTCGCAGATATAGTTTTTACAATAAAAATGTTATGTTTTACTGAATGGCAATTCAAGAAATACTATTCTCACCAACACACTGAGGAAGTGGGGTCCTCCGTCCACTGTCACATGTAATTGATCTGGGTCCAATCAATGTATATGTTTCTCTGCAACTGAACTCCACTAAAGCTCCATGGTGAAAGGGAGGGGCAGAAGACTCCACAACATAACCATAAGCAAGTCCAGGTACGTCACCCCATGTACTGCCCTCTGTAAAAACTTCACAAAAAATATGTTTCTCTTTAAAATATAATTTATGTGGTTATATGCAGATAACAAAAACTGTTGATTTAATCACATTTGAGTGTTCGTGCTTTTTATACATTACCACTACATAGAGGCAAGGTTGTCCATGTTCCATCTACACACTGAATTTTATTAGAACACGTCATCAAAAATCCAGAGTTGCAAACATATTCCACCACTTCGTTAAGTTCATATTTTTCTTTGTTTGTTTCCTTAATCTCCCCACTGGGGGGTTGAGGAGGCGTACCACATGATTTTACCTGCCCTACGGTAGAAATACTGTGTAAATAATGGTTACGGTGTCTATAATTTCAAAATCACTAGAGTGGAGAGATTTTTTTCTTTAATCAATTTATTATTTATTACATAATTTATTATAGCATTCTTAAACAATAAAAAATGGTGTTTACACCAGATTCATTTCCCAGTTCTATTACTTCTACTGAACTAACCTATTAGAAGTATAGTTAAGCCTTGCAAATATGTTCAATATATGAAGGCATAAATCTGACTAAGGATATGCAAACTGATACTTGAAAATGAGAAAACATTGTAGAGATAAACTAAAGGCCCAAATAATGAAGAAATATAGTTCGGAAGATTTAATATTGTTAAAACGTTAATTTTCCCCAACGATCTATAGAGCCAATGTTATCCCAATCAAAATCACTGCAGGTATTTTTGTAGAAATTGACAAACTGATTCTAATATTCACATGGAAATGCAAAGGACCTAGAATGGCTAAAAAACTGAAAAAGAAGGAAAGCGTGAAGGAATAACATGATGTGATTTCAATACTAATCATAAAAGTACAGTAATTAAGAAGCTGTGGTTTGGGCATAAAGACAGAAAGACTGAAAAAGAAAACAGAATGGGGTTCAGAAATAGACCCATATGTATATGGACAATTAATTTTTGACAAACCTACAAAAGGCCATTCAGGGTAAAATGATAGTTTTTTTCTACAAAATGATGTAGAATTGGACACTCACATAAATCAGAGCTTTGATTCTATCATACCTCATATTCATGTCTCGCATACAAAAATTAACCCAAAATAGAGCATAGGCCTAAATGTAAACCCAGAAACTATAAATCCTTTAGAAAACAAAAGAGAAAATCTTTGTGAACTGAGATTAGTAAAATATCTTACATATGACACATAAAAAAAAGACACAAAAAATATTTTCTGACTACCTTACAATCCTGTAAACGTAAGAAACTGTTGGAGAACAAGAGGCCGGAGGCACGGTAAGAATGTCCTGAAGGAAAGGGACGGAGCAGCAAGGAACTAAAAGCTGTTTCATTCCCAGGACGCCGGAAGGAGGCCGGGACTGCTCGTTCTCTCCAGAAGCACATCGTACGGGCGCCAGGCCTGGGAAAAGAATGTTTCGTCCGGCGCCAGATGTACTCATGACCCGGTATGGAATACACTGCAGGTGGATGGCCTGTCCAGATGTCAAATACCGTGTTGTATGTTCTTGCTGCTGTCAGACAGTTTGCAAAAATGAAAGAGGCTTGAGCCAGGGGACCGATGCTTGCGCTCCGGGAGAGTCTTAGCCCCTGCTTTGTAGTTCTCTCGTCACCGCACCTTTAGGACCCGTCTCTTTACGAGAAACTTCAAGGGTGAATTCGAAACCTTGGTACACACCCTGAATTCAATTTTGAAAGTATAGCTCAGACAGGAAAGAGTAGCAAAAGAAATCTGTTCAATAATCTAAATATTCTAAAGAGGTATTCAAACCAATTAGTAAATATGACTGTATAATTATATTCATATTACATGCAAAAAATTTATCAAAACTTTCTTTAAAAAATACCATCATTTGAGATGAGCACTTGATCAATATTATTAACTTTGATTAAGCCATATATGTGACTGAACTGACCAAAAGTTTAGATACAATCAGTGAAATGAGTTAAGGCCCATGCTATTAAAAATGTCCAGTATTAATAGTGGAATTGTAGGCAAAAGGAAAAGTAACAAAAGTCCCTTCAGAGTCAGACATCATATAAACATCTATTCATATTTCCACTGCATATTTCAATGAACAATTGGAGATTAATTTCTTAAATAAGAAGTCTAAAGTATCTACTACCCAACACATGTCCTTCACAGGGTCTATCTCTGGCTTAATGCATTAGATTGTAGACACAATGGAAGCCAAAAGAAAATTAAGAGAGGAAAAAAGTTGATATCCAAAACTCAGTTGTTTCAGCAATCGTAGGATAAATATTCACCTTTACATGTTGGAAGATCAGGGGACCATCCAAAATGGGAACACTGAACTGAATCTGGTCCAACTCTTGTTAAGTTTTTGTCGGCAGGAAAATTGCAACACATCTCCAACTTTATATTTGTCTTTTTTTGGCTTAGGAATTAAGTATTTTTCTATTTGGAAAATTTTTCTATTTTCTATTTGGAATCGAGCATTCTCTTTCTATAAAAAAAAGGTAAAATAATTTAATGAGAATATATAATTAATCATTGCCAAAGTAAATTTTACATGTCTCATGTAATAATGAGGTGCAATGTATTATATTTACAGAGGGACTTCAGATAAATTCTCTTCCTTGAAAACTTACATACTAGGTTTTATATACCTTCTAAAGCCATACAGGACTCTTTGAGAAATATTAAGGTGTTGAACAGCAATAGATATATCCTGAAAATTTATTTGTAAAATCACTTTACCTATACTGGATCTGATTTTATCACTGACATTTACAAAATTTAATGTTATGTTTTTTATACTCTCAAAACAGAAAAGTATTCTCTCATTAAAAACTCAAAAAAAAAATAATGCTACAATTTTTAAATTGCACACTTAAATAAGAATTGGTATTTTTGTTTAATATAATTGGGGACCTGGAATGCTAAAGAGAAGCATTTCTAATGTATTTCAGTTAGAGGAACATTTAAAAAGCTTAATTGATACTTTATAAGTGAAGAAATCAAAGTGAAACATGAAACAAAATGAAGAAAGATGTTCAAGGCCATAGAGTTATATTCTAGGTGTCATGAATAGTTATGTAATATACAACCAACTATTATTATTACATTATATTATATTAACTTATGATATATATGTTATATATAAACTTATAATTATATTAACTGTTAATAAATTGTTGGTTGTTCTGATTCAAATTAGGAGTGTGTAAAATTATCTCTTAAAATTTGTAAAATTTGTGACATTGCTAAGTAGTATCAAAAACTGCATTTTTCTTATTGAGAATCCTCCTATATTGCTAATTAATTTATAAAATTAAAAACTGGAATTTAAAAATTTGAATCATACTCCAAAGAAAATTCATACTATCTAGAAGTATTAACACATAATCATAAAATTAGATGTAAGAGAACTATTTTTAAAGTAATGCCACTAGGGGCGCCTGGGTGACTCAGTCAGGTAAGCTTTCTTCTTGGTTTCCGCTCAGGTCAGGATCCCACAGTTCATGAGTTTCAGCCACACATCAGACTCCACGCTGACAGCAAGGAGCCTGCATGGGATTCTTTCTCTCTCCTCCTCTCTCTGTCCCTCCCTCTGCCTCTCAAAATAAATAATAAGCTTTTTAAAAAAAGTAATGCCACAAAAATAACTCCACAAATGTGCTTTTGTTTTAATCTTGGGTTTTATAGATTAGTTGAGGTCACACCTGATGAGAACTATAGGAATTCCTCTCCTAAAATTCTATTCCAGTCTTCTATGTAGCAATTCTTTTTTTTCTACGTATCTTTGTTTATATACCTTGTGCTCATTTTATATATTCTCTACCTTTTTTTTTTTTAATTTTTTTTTCAACGTTTTTTTAAATTTATTTTTGGGACAGAGAGAGACAGAGCATGAACGGGGGAGGGGCAGAGAGAGAGGGAGACACAGAACCGGAAACAGGCTCCAGGCTCTGAGCCATCAGCCCAGAGCCTGACGCGGGGCTCGAACTCACGGACCGCGAGATCCTGACCTGGCTGAAGTCGGACGCTCAACCGACTGCGCCACCCAGGCGCCCCTATTCTCTACCTTTAAACACATCATGAAAAATTCTGCCTTAACACCAAAAAAATAATAATAATAAATCTTGGCTATTGGCTACTTTCCAATTGTTGTATTTATATAAAGCTAATGACTTTTAAATTGTGATTTAAAGAAGAGTTTGAATAGGCATATCTTGAATTAGAGATATTTATCTTTATCCAAAAGTTAAAATCCTAAATCCAGGCACTGATACTTGGAAATGCTAGCATTAATTTTTTTAAAGTGTACATTTATTTAATATTGCTGGAAATACTGTTTAGCTTAAGTGGTTTATGACAACCATAATTCTTTGGAAACCTCCCCCCAAAGGGGAGAATGCCCAGGACATTTGAAATAAACTCAATATCATTCAATCTTTGTGCAATTTTCTGCTACATGGTCGAGGAAAGTTATTTGAAAAGAACACTGAACTGTCATTTGTTCATTCAACTTTTGGAGGCCTTACCGTGCTGGTGAATTCCTACCAATGAGTTCATAGGGTTGTAAGTTTTATAAAATTTGTAATAAAGCCTTATTGGCCACATCTGTTTCTACCACTGTCTTTGTCACCCCAACTTCTACTCCGTCCCATTTTCCTGACATGTGGTGACATTGGAAAGATTATGGGAATTATATATTTAAGATTTTGAATTCTTTTTTAAAGAAGGCCCCTCAAAATTGTAAAAGCTTCTGATTTTTTAAAACCTGTATCTGTCTCTAATCCCAGAAAAGAAATTCATGATCATCTTAAAAGTCTCCCCTTCTGCTTAGAATAAAACCCAAACTCTTTATGATCCATTTCTTGCCTACATTTCCAATATAACTTCCATGTCTCTCCCCCTGTCAATCCAGATGCCAGGCTTTATGATCTTTCAATTTCTTTAAATAGCTCAAGTTCCCTGCTGTTCAGCTGTTGCACAGACCCCCATCTCTATCCTGAAGGGTTTTCAACCTTCCTTTGTGTACATGCCGTCCTATATAAAAGTGAGCCCTCCGTCCCCACCCTCTCATTTTCTAAGCTCTTGGATTCTTTTGTTTCTTTGAACAAGGTTACATATAAAATATACTTAAAATGTGTTTTTATCATCCGGTCCATTATTGGGCTTAATTCATTGTTTGTTGGTTTGTTTTCATACTGGGTTGAAAGTTTCCAAAAGGCAGACCCTTGTTTTTCTCCTAGCCTATATCAAGCTCATAAATGGGTGTTTGTCAACAGCCCGAATTAATCAACTTTCACTGGGACCAACACACTACTCAGCAAGTCTACCTCATCTCAATAACAAACTCACTGCGTGCTCCTTTCTTGAAGTCTCTATTTTAAACCATTTCCCACACTTCTAAGTGTTCCTTCTCCTCCTTGTCCCGTGCACAACTCCGTCTCTGGTGACTTTGTCTTGTATCTCAAAGGAAAATAGAAACCATCAGCTCCCACTTCGTTCCAGCATGAAATTGACACATCCGTTTTCCTTCCTTCCTCCTGTTCAAAACTGGAAGTGGCTCTGTCGCCACAGAAGCCTCGTACTTCCACGGAGCTCTGGTTTCCTTTCCTTCCCACCTCCACAGGGAACCGCCCACCTCACGTCCTCAGTCTCTGTTATAGCCTATTCCGCAGTCACTTGGCTCTGATGTCCTCCGTCTTTAGAAAAGACTACCTTTGGTGTATGATTCCCTCTAGCAATACTCTGAACTTTCTATTCACGTGCTCACATAAACTTCTTGAAAGATTTATGACCACATATTGCTCTGAAGTTCTCACTGATGATTTCTCTTCGGTATACTCTATGTAGGTTCTATGCCCTGCGTTCCTTAACTGGCTCAGCCAGTTAAATGTCCAACTCTTGGTTTCAGCTCAGGCCATGATCTCACGGTTCATGAGTTCGAGCCCCACATTGGGCTCTGCAATGATGGTGTAAAGCCTGCTTGGGATTCTCTCTCTCCCCCATTCTCTCTCTGCCTTTCCACCACTCGCACTCTCTCTCTCAAAATAAACAAACTTTAAAAAATTACTTTAAATATTTTCAAATCAAATTATATCATTCCTTAAAAACTATTTTATGGCTTTTTTATTAGTGATTAAATTAATCTAAATGCTGACATGCCCTAATATAACCTAAATAATCTTTCCTTTGCCTCCTATCTAGCTTCAGCTTATAAAACTCCCACATCTTGACTAGAATCCACTTACCGGAATATTTCCCCAAACACTATTCTGTTGTCAAAGTTTTGCACAGTCTACATCCATTCATCTCCCCACGTAATCAAGCTCTCCTTCTTATTCTGGACAGCTGATTGGCAAACACAAGAGAAATTCATGTAAGAGTCCACAGAACTTGTCAAAGTCAGAAAACAGAGAGATTTTCTCAAGACCAGCAGAAATTAATTCTCAAGGTGAGAGGTACAAAGCAGAAACTCAAGAGCAAAATGGGTGCAGAATTTGTAAGAAACTAAAATTTTACTGGAGAGCTAAATTTAAAATAATTTAAAAGCTCTCATTTAGTAAAACAAAAATAATTATACTTTAACCACAAATCTGTGATGTATCTGGCCCATCGGAAATATTAATACAGTGTGTTAAAATTAGAGTATTCTCTTTGGGCTTCAGAACACCTTCTCTTCCCAGTTTACATTAAATCAGAAGAATTCGCCTCGACTTTTGTTCCTTAAGAATATCTCCAGGGGTGCCTGGGTGGTTCAGTCGGTTAAGTGGCCAACTTCGGCTCAGGTCATGATTTCACGGTCCATGAGTTCAAGCCCTGTGTCGGGCTCTGTGCTGACAGCTCAGAGCCTGGAGCCTGTTTCAGATTCTGTGTCTCCCTCTCTCTGACCCTCCCCTGTTCATGCTCTGTCTCTCTCTGTCTCAAAAATAAATGAATGTTAAAAAAAAAAAAAAGAATATCTCCAGATCATTCAAAATTCTGTAAAAAGGAACACAGAGAGATAGGGTCACCAGGGTGGTACCAGTTGGTTGAGTGTCCGACTCTTGATTTCAGCTCAGGTCATGATCTCAGGGTTGTGGGATTGAGCCCCGTGTCAGGTTCCACACTGAGCATGGAGCCTGCTTAACATTCTCTTTCTCTCTCTTTTTTTCTCTATCCCCTCTGCTCCTCTCTCCCACTCGTGCTCTTTCTCTCTTTCAAAAAAAAAAAAAAAAAAAAAGAACACATACAGGGTTTTTTTTAACTCATTTTTCCTTTTACAAACTTTATGTTGAGGTAACTGATAACTGCTCTTGAAGACAAAACGGTTTTTTTTTAAATATGAAATTTATTGTCAAATTGGTTTCCATCCAACACCCAGTACTCATCCCAACAGGTGCCCTCCTCAATGCCCCTCACCCACCCTCCCCTCCCTCCCACCCCCCATCAGCCCTCAGTTTATACTCAGTTTTTAAGAGTCTCTCATGGTGTAGCTCCCTCCCTCTCTAACCTTTTTTTTTTTCCTTCCCCTCCCCCATGGTGTTCTGTTAAGTTTCTCAGGATCCACACAGGAGTGAAAACATATGGTATCTGTCTTCCTCTGCATTTTTTTAACTGAAGTATAGTTGACAATGTTATATTAGTTTCAGATGCACAACATAGTCGTTCAACAATTACAGACTTTTTTATCCTAAAAAAAAGAGAGAATACTTGAAATGAAAGTACTTACCATAACATGTAGGTGTATCAGACCAGCCATTGTTACCACATACTATGGAACCGTGTTGCCTCCAAGTCTGCTTTCATATCCATCATAGCGCTCAAATTCTAACTCGTCATTGAACTTAAACGACTTGCCACCACTTTTGAGTCTGGCATTCTCAAATCCTGGCATATCACAAGATTCTAGTTCATAACAGAATTGAAGATTTTATTGATAATGTTAATTAATGAACAACCTAACTTAATAATCCCATCCCTAGAACAAAAAGCTTTATCAATTAATATGTGCTAATGAATTAAACACTAAGTAAAAGTAATCCAAAAAGATCGGTGATGAATTGCCTTAAAATAATTACCAAAAGTGAAAACAGTGTTACTACAAAGCTTTTTCTCATCACTAAAACGCTGTGAAAATTTATGTTAGGAACATTTTTCTCAATTCAATTATATTTATGTATTCATAGCATGCTGGTAATAAAAGAGGCCATTACAGCATATAGTATTTTTTTTCTAGGACACCAGAATAGCATCTTAAGAATTAAGATGCCAAACTTCTTAGCAGTTGCAATACATATACCAGAGAAAAATGGATAATTAAATAAAAAGATTGATGTATTTGTATTATATAAGATATTTTCCCTTCCATAATAAGAAATCTTGTAATGGAAAATTGATTACAATGAAATCAAATCTCTCTCCTAATACCTACATAAAGTTCAAATTTGAGTTCTGGAAGGAGGCAGCAGAGTTGTCAAAATCAGAAACATGTTTATTTGTTAAAACTTAAATGTTTCTTGAAAGAAATACCTATGTGCAATTGTTGCTTGCCTTTTTGCTTTTTCTAGTCTATAAATGTTGTTGAAAATGCATGGAAAAAAAGAGCAGTTACCTGAGCAATCTGTACTTCAGAAAGCTTAACAAAGGATCAGGAAGATGAACTATGGAAGGATAGGATTATTTTGCAGGTGGAATGAAACTGTTCTATGGTTATCTCCAGGGATAGCTAGGATTCTAGTGCTAACCCTTTGGCCAAGATAAGCATGTGGTACCCAGTGATTTATAATGTGCGGTTTAAGTATGAAACCCCTGGAGACACACTGTACAAGCTTGTCTAAATTTTGTAGGAATATATAGATTTATGGTTTATACCTGGTTTAATCAGTTACAGAGACTAGTTTAAGTAAGTAAGCATAATGTTATGAGACCTCTTTGTAAATTTGTGTACTAGCCTACCTGAAAACAAGATACCTTACATGCATCTTGGTGATTTGGAACCCAAAGATGAAAAACATCCGGAAAAAATGGTACGGAATGGCTGTGCTTATAAGTGTTCAAACTTCTCTACAATTGCCTTTGTTTCTCTCTCCTGTTGTACTACGGTCTTTAACCTTTACAAACCCTAATGTAAATCTATGCTGTGGAGTCCTGCTAATCTTCTTAATCATCAAATACTGTATAATTGATGTAATAACCTATAGAACCTACAAAAATATTACCAAACTAATAGTAAATTAAGGAAGATGATGCTAAATGGTCAATACATTAAATGAAATTGTATTTTGATACAATAATAATGGGAAGTGGAAAATCAAAACTTTATAATTTGTAATAGTATTAAAAGAAAAAAAAACGTGCCACAAAAGGAAAGATTTAACAAAACATGTGCATGACTTGTATTCAGAAATTATATAACCTCCCTGAGAAAACTTGAAGGAGGCCTAAATAATTGGAGCGATAAATCAAGATCTTAAATTGGAGGAAAAAATATTTTTACAATCAACTATCCCCAGAATAATATACAGATTCAACTCAATTCCAATGAAAATCCTAGTAGACTTTCCGTAGAAATTAACAAGGTAATACCAAAACTCAAAGAAAATGGAAAACAGCTAAAAAAAAAAAACCAAAAAAAAAAACATTAAAAATTAATGTATGAATTGTCTACTGCAACTACAAAGAAAATCCACATACTTACATCAGGTTTAAACAGTACTAATTTATTTCTTAAATTTTTGTCGGTTCAAAATGTGACAGGTGGATCACTGGACTAAATCAAGGTGTTGCAGACCTGTGTTCCTCTCTTGGGGCTCCAAGGGAGAATCAGTTTCCTTGTCTTTTCCAGCTTCTAGAGGCTTCCTGAATTGATTGGTTCATGGTCTCTTTCTCCATCTTCAAAGCCAGCAACTGTCTCTCTCTGATCCTTCTTACCTCATCTTGTTTCTCTATCTTTCTCCATCTCTGCCTCTCTCAATCCCACCCTTCTTTCCATATGGTATTACGTTGAGCCCATTTAGAAAATCAAGAATAAAGTTTCCATTGCAAGGCCTTTAACATTAGTAATATCTGAAAAGTTCCTTTCTCTAAGTAAGGTACCATAATCACAGGTACCAGGGATCAGACATGGGCATCATTGGGGAGGCCATTATTCTACCCCCCAAAATTAAGAACAGATGGGAGGACTCACACTACAGTAATCAAGGGAAGACATAATGATATAAGGATAAATATATAAATTTGTGGGAAATGATAAAAAGTCCAGAAATAGACACACACGTGCACGTGCGCGCACACGTGCGCGCACACCCACACACACACTTACCTATATTCAGTGGATTTTTGACAAAACTGACAAGTTATTCAGGAAGTAAAAGGATATCATTTCCAGCAAATTGTGCTAAACAACTGAAAATCCATATGAGGAAAAAAGATGAACCCTATTGCATACACAAAATAGCTAGAAATCAATCAGAGACATGAATGTAAAAGTACATATGTAAACTTTGGAGAGAAAAAAAATATGACAAATCTTTGCGACTTTGAAGTTGGAAAAAATGTCCTATATAGAGCACAAAATAAATAATTAAAAATTGACCAATTTGGACTTCATCAAAAGTTAAGGCATATGTTCCTGGAAATAAACTGTTAGAAACTTAAAAGATAAGACACAAATGGGAGAAAATATTTGCAAATCATATACTTGATAAAGGAATTGTTTCCCAAATATCAAACTACCTACTTAAATTTGGGAAAAATTCAATTTCACAGAAGGAGACCTAACAATGGCCAATAAGCAGATGAAAAGGTGTTCACTATCATAAGTCAAACAGCAACGTAAAATTAAAGCAAAATGACATCCCACAATATGCACAACATAATGCTTAAAATTTTGAACCTGATGATCCTGTTTGTTAATAAAGATGAGAATCAACTGGAATTCTCAAACATTGCTGGTGGGGATGCAAAATGCCAGTTAACTTGAAATTCAGTAAGGCAGATTCTTACAGATTTAATCATGCACATAACCCAGCAATTCCCTTTTGGATATTTATGCAACAAATAGTAAATATATGCGCATTCAAAGACTTAAATTCAAATGTTCATAAATAGCTCAATCATAATTGCCAAAACCTGGAAACACTCCAAAAATCCATCAATATTGGAATGGATAAACACATTTTATATCCATATAATGCTACACAACTCTATTATGAAAACAAATGAGCTACTGATGCAAGCAACCACACAGAAGAAAGTCACAGACATTATGCTAAAATAAAGCAGCCAGATAGGAGAATCCATTTCTATAAAGCCATTGATATGCAACTGTGGAAAGGAAACACTACTCTATAGTAACAAAAAGAATATTGGTTGCCTGGTGTGGTGTTGCTGGGGGAAGCTGAATGGCAAGAGAAGAACAGAACTGGCTCAGAAGATGAAAACTGTCTCTAGCTTGACTTGGTTTGTGATTACATAGATGTACACATTTGTCAAAGCACTGGCCTACTCACTAATATGTATGAATTTTATTGTATATAATTCATACCTATACGGAGATGATTTTTTAAATAGACACTTTGCCAAAGAAGACATCCAGATGGCAAAAACACACGTGAAAGGATGCTCAATACCGCTCAGCATCAGGGAATTACAAATCAAAACCACATTGAGATACCAACTCACACCCATCAGAATGGCTAAAATTAACAACTCAGGAAACAACATGTTGGTGAGGATGTGGAGAAAGGGGAACCCTATTGCACTGTTGGTGGGAATGCCACTCTAGAAAACAGTTTGGAGGTTCCTCAAAAAATTAAAAATAGAACTGATCTATGACCCAGCAAGTACACTACTAGGAATTTATCCAAAGGATACAAAAATGCTGATTCGAAGGGGCACATGCACCCCAATGTTTATAGGAGCACTATCAACAATAGCCAAATTATGGAAAGAGCCCAAATGTCCATCAACTGATGAATGGATTAAGAAGATGTGGTATATATATATATACATACAATGGAATACTACTCAGCGATGCAAAAGAATGAAGTTTTGCCATTTGCAACAATGTATATGGAACTGGAGGGTATTATGATAGGTGAAATAAGTCAGTCAAAGACAAATATCATATGATTTCACTCATATGTGGAATTTGAGAAAGTTAACAGATGAACATAGGAGAAGGGAAGGAAAAATAAGATAAAAACAGAGAGGGAGGCAAACCGTAAGAGATTCCTAAACAGAGAACAAACCATAAGAGACTCTTAAATACAGAGAACAAGCTATGGGTTGATGGTGGGGATGGGGGGGGGGGTGTTATATGAGTGATGGACATTAAGGAGGGCACTTGTTGGGATGAGCACTGGGTGTTATATGGAAGGGGTGAGTCATTGGGTCCTACCCCTGAAGCTAAGATTACACTGCATGTTAACTAATTTGAGAATAAAATAATAATAATAATAATAATAATAAATAAATGAGCACTTGGAAACTAAACATACAGTTGTCAAAAAATTTTCAAGTGATTAAGTTACTAGGAAAAAAAACAATCTGCCTAAATAAAAAATAAAAAGTGAAAATAAATGGAATTACGAGAAAAATACTATGTTTCAAAGAACATCAAGCTGAATAATAAGAAACTCCAGACAGAAAGAACAGAAAATACTAAGAAATAAAAACAAAACTAGTGAGACAGGGAAACTGAAGAACTGCATAAAAATCTGCTCTTTGTTCCTTTTCCTGTTTCTTTTCTTGGCAGGACCTGCACCCCCACTCCGCTTTACACATACCTTGTAATGCAAACAGTATATGTCCTCCTTGTAAGAGACAAGGAATTAATGATTTCTCTAGAATAGATAACATCTAAGGAAAGACCAGGTGAGAATGAC